ACCCCCCAGATAATAACAGAACACAGACCCAAACAGAACAAAGCATAAATGAATTGCACAGAATTGAACAGAACTAAGTAGAAAGAATAAAACAGACCAAATAGAATGAGACAAAAGAGTAAAAAAAGAACAGGAGAAAGAATAGAATAGAATAGGACAAAACAGATAATAACAGAACAGACCCAAATAGAATAGATTAACATAAAACACAATTGAAATTAAACATGCACATGCACATTCACAAAGGTGTAAGTAAAGCTCACCAGCGTGCTCTTCTGTGTGTCTGCCAACTTGGTAGCGATGAGGTACTGAACCGGGGCCAGCAGCAAAATGACGCCGGCCCCTATCAACGCGCTGTCACCCAACAAATAATACAGCAGGATCACTCCCATAATGATCTATGAACAGAAATAAGTTATGTTTTGCTTAGGGACACAACTGATTTAGTGCTTTCACAAATGCAGGAGTGTTTTGCTATGATATACCTGAACTGGCATGGCCCACAGGTTGGGGCATAAGAAGAGAAACCACATGAGCTGATTGGTTTCTATGGCAACGAGATTGTTGATCTGGCCGAGGGTCATCTCTCCCATGGACATGTTTGAAGTGGAGAGACGCAGAATTTTATTGTAGATCATTGCCTAAAGGATGAAAACCAACACATGAATAGCAAAAAAAAACTTTTTAGGTCTTGTATACAGCAGAAAAGAAGACTAGACTAAACTAGAATACAGTGCAATATGACATATCAGATAACAGAACAGACTGAATAGAATATATAGTCATCACTGTTATTGTGGTAATATTTATATAACATTATAATATTTCCCAATATTTTGAAGTAATTTTAATATAAATAGATAAATAACAAATTATTTTTATATTTCTTTTAAAATTTAGTTTTAGTAATTTTGTCATTTTTATTACTTTTTGTTTTAATTAAATATTTCTATTTAGCTTTATTTAATGTTAGTTTTAGTAATTTTAGTTTAATGTTTTTCTGCTAATAGTTATACTCTTTTCCGCTTCATTTCAATTAACAAAAACATTTCATACTTTTAGTATCAGTTACAATAACAACACTGACAAAACAACAGAACCGAACAGAACAGAACAGAATATAATAGAATCGAATAGAATAGAAAAACCCCCCAGATAATAACAGAACACAGACCCAAACAGAACAAAGCATAAATGAATTGCACAGAATTGAACAGAACTAAGTAGAAAGAATAAAACAGACCAAATAGAATGAGACAAAAGAGTAAAAAAAGAACAGGAGAAAGAATAGAATAGAATAGAATAGGACAAAACAGATAATAACAGAACAGACCCAAATAGAATAGATTAACATAAAACACAATTGAAATTAACAATAGAATAGAATTCAACAGAACAGAATAGAAATAATAAAATTCTGAATATGGGACAAAGTAGAGTAGACAAGAATAATGGGACAAAGTACAGTAGTATAGAATCAAACAGGACAAAGCAGAATAGAATAGAATATAGGACAAAGCAGATAATAACAGAACAGACCAAAATAAAGTAAATTAACATAATTAGAAGCATAATTGAAATTAACAATAGAATAGAATAGAATAAATGGAATATAATTCAATAGAACAGAGTAGAAAAAATAAAACAGAATATGGAACAAAGTAGAGTAGAAAAGAATAAAGGGACAAAGTACAGTAGTATAGAATCAAACAGGACAAATCAGAATGGAATAGAATAGAACAGAATAGAATAGGATTGGTAAAGCAGATAATAACAGAAAAATAATTTAAATGAACAATAGAATAGAATCAATAGAATAGAATTCAATAGAACAGAGTAGAAATAATAAAACAGACAGAATATGGGACAAAGTAGAGTAGAAAAGAATAATGGAACAAAGTACAGTAGTATAGAATAAAACAGGACAAAGCAGAATAGAATAGAGACTTCACTTTCCTACTAAGGTAAGAATTTATCTAATATAATATTTTGTGTTGTACAATTCAACTTGAAGTGTGTAGTGCAGACTGTTAAAATATAAATTTGTCTAATAATTCTCTTCATGTTTGACTTCCAGTAAACTCTCTGAAACTTACAAGCAGCGCCCCGCGCAGGTTAATGCCGGTTTCTATTGTGACGTAGTAGGAGGCCTGCAGGAATGTTCGCTGCAGCACGAGTGCCAGGAACAGCAGAACCGCCAGAACAGACGTATTCTGCAGCAGCTCAGTGGAAGACATGAAGAACACCCCGAAAGTCATGTTCGCTGTCTGACAGGACATAAACAGAGTATGAACACACATAAAAACACTTCGGCATTTCAGCCCTCACTGAGGTCATCCACAAGCATACACACACTCTAAAATAAAAAGAAGGAGTCACTTAAACAGAGTGTTGCTGGCAGCAATGTGTGTGTGAGAGGGAGTGCGATTTGAGTGGGGAATTTTCCATGTCACACAGATATGTATGTCTGTTCTGGCTTAATTTTGTCACACACATTTATACAGTGACATCAAAATGTATTTGGATTGATTTTAATTATAATACATTATAAAATAAATAACACACACACTGCCGTTCAAAAGTTTGGGATTGCTTTTAGCTTTTAGTTTTTTCTTATGCTTAACAGGGCAGTATTTATTTGATTAAAAATACAGTAAAATACTGTAATATTGTGAAATATAATTACAGTTTCAAATAAATGTTTTCTATTTTAATATATTTTATGTAATTTACTCCGGCGATGATGAAGCTGAATTTTCAGCAGCTGTTACTCCAGTCTCCAGTCCTGCAAGTTCACAATAAAATTTACTGTCATTTTTGATCAGTTTAATGCATCCTCGCTAAATAAGTATTATTATTATTATTATTATTTTTTAAGTAATACATATTGTTCAAAATGAAAACAAAAGGTATTTGCTAACACTTGGTTGCAGACGTGCTCATAGACACTATGACAAGATAAATGCAATAACATCATTCATTCAATCAGCTAAGTTTTTATCACATCCTGAGTTTTCCACACTGAATCCATCCTTATCTAAACCTCATGAGAGTGTTTTTTCAAGCACACATGACATCATGGTCCTCTGAGCAGGGAAAACACACTGTGTGAAATCTAATAAATGCTGTCATCTCAAGGCGATGACATATGGTCCTCTCATTAATAGCACTGACGCCTCTGTGACATCACACAGGAAGTGATAAATAGCAAGGCAAAACAGCAGATATCAGACAGTAGATCGTTCTCTACAATATACTGTCACGTTGCACCAAGGAAAAATAAATATAGTGTAATTAGTAGTATAACCAGCAGACCAATATCTGCAGCAAATCATTTAATTGACAGCTATTTGATCAACATCCAAAATTATTTAACAAGGCGCATTATGAATGGGTTCCAAAGTAAATGAGATAATATCAAAGTGCTGTGAGACAGTGACTGGATTGTGATATATTTCCATTACATAAGTTGTGTAGTTTCCTTTATCCCTCCATTTCCGTTTTACCATCTCTCTGGTATGTGTTTGGGATTGCCAGTTGTTTGTATCCTTGAATTGTCCTATTCAATTGAACGAATAAGCAAAATCATGCCTGATTATTCCAAAGATTATTTTCTTAATTAGTATTTCTGTCTTGTTTTCCAGTACAAATATCTAAACATTCATAAATCAAGATGCATATACAGTACTTGAAGGCAAAATGACTTAACATATTGATTTTTTCTTTTTTTCTTTCTTAAAACAGCACAAAATATTAAGCAAAAACGCACTTTTTTAAAAAGCAAGACTTGGGGCCAGATTTACTAACAGCTTGCGCCAGTGCAAATCGTCTTTTGGCGTTAAAATAGTACTGTCAGGATTTACTAAAGACGCGCAGTGAAGAATCAGTGCTGAAAAGGCATGGACACAGTTATTTTTTGCCTGACCTTATTGAATATGCAGTTGTAGGAGTTTTCCTTTCAGACACAAAATGTATGGGAGGAGAGTATTCAAATTAATCACGCAACGTGATTTACTAACATTTGCGCTTGTCAAATTTCTGGTATTTGCGCCATTATTTAACGGCCAAAAAAGCACGTCTTAAAAGCAGGTGGTAATTTGCGCTGCTCTTGGTAGATTGCGCTGGTCATTATGGAAATGATCTGGCTGCGTCTGTGTTCTTTAATGTGCATATTGTTAGTAAGTCACTCGCAGAATTTTCCCCTCCCATCTGTGCTTTTATGGAATTGCCCTCTAACACTAATTTGCCCTGTTTAGAAAATGTGGCCCTTGATATCTTCTGTCATTTTGCTTCTCAAGTAAATGCATCTTGATATGTATCTTAGAATAATTACATATTCTTACTGGAAAACTAGAATTCTACTGAGTAAGAAAATTATTTTTTGCAATGTTTTCTATTCTCACAATACCATGAATAGTGTCTGTAACCATACTGACAAGACTATCAAAGATAGCGACACACACAAGACCATAGACCATATTCAACACTCTAAAATCAGATGAAACACACACCTTGTTTGTCCTGTCAATCTCTGTTGAATTATGCAGGTGTTCCACAATCCCAGAGATGCAGAGTGGCCCGGCAAAGCCCAGCAAGTCCGCCATGTACCGGAAAGTGCTGCTGAGGAGTATTGGCCCTCCAAATGCCCGGTACATGGACTTCCAGATGGATGGGGATTTCTCTGGGTCCTCTGTTTTCTGCTGTCAGAATTATACAAGCAAAGAGACACTGGTCAACTGACACTTCTCATTATTACAATGTTATCAAATATGAAAATGTTGTTCCTTTATATTATAATATTTGTTCTTAAACCTTTGATCTTCTGCACATACCCTCTGTTCCTCATAAGAGTCTTTCAGACGGATATAGTTAGTCAACGCCCTCATCGCGATTGGCAGTTTGCCAATTTTCTTCAGCTCAATGGGTCTCTTGTGGGCTCCAATGATGAGTGGGTTCATCCACCAATATGTTGCCTTGGAGAGGAGGTTGACGAAGGGCTGGAGAAATCGCACGCCCAAGTCCTGCAAGTCTTCAGGGGGCTTGACCCTCTGCGGGTTCGCAAAGAACACGTACTTCTGCGGGTAAGAGAAAAATAAAAGATACAGGTCATATGGTTTGTTAGTAGAATGTAATTACCCTACTGAACAAACTAGCACGTTGTGTTTTGGATGTTGGATTTTGATTTTGTGTTCACTTTAACTACTTAAACAGCCTAACTACCTTGGACAACCAGAAAGAATATTGGTCAAGCAGTTTTGATGGTGAAAATCATGGCTATATGTCTATCAGCTAATCCAGCATCAAAACCAGCACAAACCAACCTGAACCAGAATGGAAATCTCTGGCAGTTCAAGCTGTTTTTTTCACCAGGTTAGTGACATGTTAGTATTGTAAAACTGTCTACAATTAATGGATAAAAATTTGCCATAAAATAAAAATATTACATTAGTGGTTCAAATTAGAGGCATATAGAAAAAAATAGTAAAATAAAAAATAATGAGGAAAAAAAAAACTTTTGCCACATGACCCTAGTTCAACTCACCCTGACTCTGATAACGTTGATCTCGACAGCCATGAGCAGGCCGTACAGCACCACTAGCAAAGCTGTGATACAGAAACGGAGATATTGCACCCCCAAGCTCGCCTCTGCAAACTTCCATAACTTTATCATCTTGGTGATGAAAGCCAGAATCCAATAAATAAATAAGGCTGTGAAAGAATATTTCTGAGGTTAGTTCTCTTTCTCATACAGAATTACAAGGACAGAAGCTAACTAAAATATAAATCAACCATTACATGTTGCCAAGCAACACCCAGACTTAAAGTGTTTTATTTAAATTAGAGGACTGATACTAACTGTTATATAATGTAGGAGATGAAACAGCAACACTCAAAGTACATTCTATTATTAACAGCCAGCATCACATTTGCATAATGAAATGGACATTGACTTACCCAGCAGCAGTTTGGGGAAATTGGCGGTTTCTATATTGTGATAATATACGACTGATGTTGTGGCCGCTATGAAGCCCATCAGCGCTGGCAAGAAGAGGTGCAAGTGATTGGACTCCATCTGCCTACAATGATCCATTCAAACACAAAGACATAAACATAAATGCATAACGGTCATAAACACTCAAATATTTCAAATGTGTGTTGAAACCCACGTATTGGAGACGATTCCCTCGGCGATCTCGCACACATGCACAAACAGCAGTGTGAAGGTAAGGATCCAGCGCAGGTTGTGGCCAGGAAAGTGCAGCCAGGTGTTATGATGGATCTGCACCTTTGAGCTCTGGCTACCCCAGCCTGAGCACGAACACACACATATGTGTAATTATATTATTCCCTTGCGGTGTCTAATATAATATACAGTTAACATTTACTTTGTTAATCAGCATCCTGTATCTGTCCCCGCCTGTCTCGATTTTTCATTGTTTTCCTTTCTTTGGCTAATAGTGTAGTAATTCTGTTATGGGAAACATTTTTTCATTATGAGACTGAATGAGGGATGGCACTGACACCATTGTGGCGTCAGAGAAAATGATTTTTTGAGAAGGATTTGAGTAAAGGCTCTTTGGGGAGCCAATACAGATAATGAATTGGCCCATTTAGTTCTGATACAGTGTTTAGGCCCCTCAGCTTTTGAAGGCATGATGTATGCCATAAACCAAACATGATGTATGCCATAAACCATTTAAGAACTGCCTTCCTTGAAAATTGGCTACATGTCACAGAAAGTTGAATTGGAATGACAAGAGCTAGAATTTACTGAGCTTTAATCCAAAGAAATTCACATATCACACAACAGGCATTCAATTTAAGGGTTCCACTTTGTAAGCTTTATGTTGTGTGGCTCCAAATAAATAAATGTATTCATTAATAATATAAGATGAATTAAAATACAAAAAATAAAACAAGAATTCTCGATATTTAAAATAATGAATTATGAAAAATTACAGTGAATATTGATTTTTTTTTTCTCATTCCATTTTTATTCTACTTCCTTATATTTAAATTATAATGAAGAATTATAATGATCTGCTTTTTTAGCATGGTAAATAAAATAAAATAAAAAATATAATAAAATAAAAATCTATTATATCATTAAAGACATAAAATAAAATAAATAAAATCTATCATATAATAAAAGGCATAAAATAAAATAATAAAATTTATCGTATCATCAAATAAAACAAAACACTAGGATTCTTAATTAAAAGTAGTGCTGTCAAACGATTAATCGCGATTAATCGCATACAAAATAAGTTTTTGTTTACATAATATATGTGTGTTCAGTGTATATTTATTATGTATATATAAAGACACACACATACAGTATATATTGAAAATATTTATATCTATATTATATATATATAATATAAATTATATGAATTATAAATATAGATATAATAATTTAATTAATTCATTATTATAATTAATTAATTAAATTATTATATCTATATTTATAATTCATATAATTTATATTACATATAAATATATTTAATACATAAATATAACACATTTTTCTGAAATATATACATGCGTGTGTGTATTTATATATACATAATAAATAAACACAGTGCACATACATATATTATGTAAATGAAAACTTTTATTTTGTATGTGATTAATCGCGATTAATCGTTTCACAGCACTAATTAAAAGGCAATCCGTATTAAATTCTAAATGGAACACAACCCTGTAACCAACTGCAGAATGTGAATGGTTGTTTAAGAGGGAAGAAAGATAAGGGCATTCATACCAATAAACAGGATGGGGAAGGTGATGAAGAGAAGAAATACATGAGGGACGAGGTTGAGGGCGTCCACGAAGCAGCCATTGTCCAGGACTCCTTTGTCCACACTGTAGGCATTACTACCTCTGTCGCTCCCACAGAAAGACAAGGCCATGTCACCTGACTGGGCTAAAGAAAAATGCATGTATGTTAGATTTGTATATATAGCATTCCGTACAGATAACTGTAATCTAAAAAATTATGTATTTAATGAAAAATCAAGTCTTCATTTACACTTAAACTGACTTAGACTTTCAGTCTGCAGCTTTGAGCCCAAACTGACAGCACTGAAAGCAGTATTCCTGTAATCATTATTGACTATGAGGTCCGACAAAGTGTTTGACTACATTGATCCTCTGCTGACAATCAGTGTAAGAGCAAGATTAACAAACCCTCTCTAGGGACACTGCCTGTACCTCTCAGCCAATTCATTTACCAGCAAAGTTTAATTTCTCATACAGGATAGCTGCATTATACAACATCACAACAGACAGTAATGTTTGCTTGGGCAGAATATACTCTGGTATTGAAGCTTGCATGCTGTGTCTCCTCAGGTGACCCATCAAAGTGTGTGTTTTACAGTGTTTTGAACATTATAAAATGTATAAATTACATTATAACAGTAATGATTAAAATATAATGTAAATATAATTATTTTTGACAAATATTTAAATTACATGGAGATTTCTGTATTATGGTTGTACCCATGGATATTTTTGTATAACTATTATTATGGTAATCTGGTGAATTCGTTTTTATTTTAATATTTTCTGGTTTCATTTTAATTTTAGTTAAAGCTTTAGTAATTTTGTTGTGTTTTTGGAATTTGTATCAGTTTTTTTCAAAATGTCTACATAGTTATTTAATTAATTTTTATTTCAGTTTTAGTTATTTTAGTACATCAAGATGAAACTAAATGAAAATGAGAGATGTTGCTTTAGCAACTAGCTGAAATAAAATAAGTTTTTATATATATTTTATTGCATTTCAAGTAACAAAAATTGTTTGATGGATTTAGTTTTAGTTAACTATAATAGCCCTGGTCATATCATCTTGATATCACATAAAATAATTACTATATGGACAGACAATAAGTTTTGCATTTACATTTATGCATTTTGCAAAACTTGCAAAAACCTATGAAAAGTAAAGAAAGGTTTTTAGTTAGAAATGCTAATATTAACAGCATATATGGCTGTGAAAGCCTATTAATATTGAATAATTTATTCCGCAAGCAAAGTGTCCGATAAAAAGGACTACCAGTAAAGTAAATAATGTTTGGCTGGTCACGTGATCACAACATGTCGGCCCTCATGAGGCAACCCTCCATGTAAAACAAAACAGCTTATATTAGGCTACTGATATGACTGGAGTCTTCATGTCATAATTTATTCAATTTACTTAGTGCAACTTTAAGATACTGCAGGACTTAAAAATCATGAATGGTCTTATTAATATTATTAACAAAAAATGTGCTACAGAAACCAAAGAATAAATAGCTGTTTATTGGTTGATGTGAAATGAAGTGAATTACCAAGTAAAGCCCATGACAAGTGCATTAAATAGACTACAGTACAATAGTCTTCTCATTCATACTCAATACTATTGTGTAAAACACTGCTGTTCATGATTAGTATTATTATAGGATACCACCCACTCTGACAGCTATAGACAGCTAAATCCCTCCACATGCTCACTGACAGCCAGACGTTGTCTTTCTTCAACTTATGAGCGTTGTATAGCATGAATAGTAAATATAATAGTAAAACCCACAGTGACAGTCATAGATAATTATTAAATAAGAACTTACCAAAATAATTGCTCTGCTTTAGTAGCTTTTCATGCCCGTCGCTGGTGTTAGTGAGAGTAATTCACAGGGAATATTATTTTTAGCTGCAGTGTATCAGCTGCTCATGGTCTCTCTCTCTCTCTAGCTCTTGGATCGTATTTCCAAACTTGAACAGGAATGTTGGCATGAACGTACGGACCCTCCTGAGAAAATAGAGATCGACTGTGACACTGTGGCTGTGTCTCATAATCTTGTGAGCTGCCTGCCTACACAGCATTTTTGGCCATCATGGGTGTGTGTGATGCCCAAACAAGCAGTCTAGGTAAAGAAATGAGAAAACACAGAGTTGAATAGGATAGCAATGTTTCAATTAGTAATTGACCGAAAAGTTAAGAAAAATTATGCTATAATATAAATAATAAAAAAGACGTACACAAATTTAATTAAATTGACAAATACTCTTTTTCTTTTTTAAATGTTCAGTATTTACCTAAAATTCAAATGATTCTGTGTAGATTTCATAAAGCAATTTATTTTATATATCAGTAATATAAATTATATTTAACAGAATTATATTCTCTTTTTTTTTACATTTTAAAAATGTAAAAAAAGTCATTATTTATTTATTTATTACCATTCTGCATAATTTCTGAAAAAAATATTCAGAAATTATTAAGCGAGTTCAACATAATGTTCATAAACAGTTTACAAGCACACCCTGGCTAAGCGCACCCTTTGCTCATCCAGTTTCCGGCAATGGTAACATTTACCATTTCTGTTTTCCCAGCATGCACTGAGGCATGAACGATTATGGCAGCATTTTTACTAGTTTCCCAGTTTGGTTTACATTTTTGTTCTTAATTTTGTCATCATGTTTTGTAGATTATTGTCTTGTGGATGTCAAGATGTGTTTATTGCTCTATTAAAATAATTTGTTAGTTGATTGTTACCCTTATCATGTTTAGTACATGAGGTTTTGAGATCTGTGTGGCACTTCTAAATATAAATACATTTATTTTATTTTAATATTATTATTTTATTTTATTTTAATATACATTTATTACTTCTAAATATATATATATTTTTTGCCATAGGACTGTTATTGGTGAGTGTTTAAGCGTGTCTTTTGCTCTCCATTTAGATTATTAAAAAAAGTGAGAGATACATAATAATGAACAGTCACAACATAAACAATTGGAACTATTACCATATACTGTAACTCTTTAAGATTATAGGCTACATCTTAATATTTCTAGAGTCACTTAATCTAAAGGTATTTGTCACAATTACAAAATTGTTATTGTTGAAATGACTCGATTTTAAGGAGCTTACTTGATGCTATTTGAACAGTTGCATTTCATTTTGCTTATGATTTGTTATCAATGTTACTCGTAAATACTGTATTTACAGTCAACTGTAATAGGTACACCAACTCACATGGTTGTTGCTTCTGTAAAACAATCTTACCTGACAAAGAAAAACAATGAACCCTTGATTTAACCTAGTTCTGGTCACTTATCTCTACATGAGCACACTGAACCATGTCTTTCACCTTATGACACTACAACCGCGCATAAATATAATTAAATGCACCATAATAATATCAACACGTTCAAAGCAGGCCATTGTAAATCAGATAAGGCAGTGAGTGAACGTCATTCAGAATCAACCTTTGGGATTTTAATGAATTAATTTAAGATGTAATGTGCCAAGACTGTGGACACACTCACCTAGATGTCTCCGGTTGTAGGTTTTGTCATCGATACTTGCAGTAAATACGCTGCGACATCAGCGGTTAGACAGTGAACGCGATGGTGTTGTATCTCCTTGTCCTTGCGTTACTGAAGAAAGCGCGCGTCACTGCTTCAGCGTAGCGTTGCTATGGCGTCAGATATAAAGGAGGGATGCCCGTGCACGAGCGCGGCTGCTCCTGATGTAGGTCACATCAAGAATAACTGGATCAAACTGAAGATTCAATGAGGTGCATAAAATTACTCACTAAAATAAAGAGGATTTACTAGCGGCTGGATAGATAAAAGAGAGAGAGAATGTGGGATGTGTTGTACATTACGCCGCATAAAGAACTGGAAGTCACGCATAACGATTTCATTCAGCAGGGGCTGTGTAAATTTCGCATGTGGGCAATAGGCACAAGATTCAGTTTTTTTGTTAAATGTGAGCCAAAATCATCACAATTAAAAGAACCAAAGACTTAAACTACTTCAGTCTGTGTGCATTGAATTTATTTAATACACGAGTTTCACAATTTGAGTTGAATTACTGAAATAAATTAACTTTTCCATGACATTCTAATTTATTGAGATGCACCTGTATGTCTGTCTCTCTATCTATCTATCTATCTATCTATCTATCTATCCATCTATCTATCTCTGTTCGTCTATCTATCTATCTGTTTATCTATGTCTGTCTCTCTATCTATCTATCTATCTATCTATCTATCTATCCATCTATCTATCTCTGTTCGTCTATCTATCTATCTGTTTAAAAGAGTGAAAAATTTAAGGGGGTCTGAATACTTTCCGTACCCACTGTATCTATCTATCATTCTGTCTGTCTGTTCTGTCTGTAAATCTCTCCATTAATATATTTTTTAAACATCCATCCATCAAAAATCAAATAGCAACCTTAAATTATGCTTCTACTATCCCATCAATAAGGCTAAGAGGCCCATTATTAATACCCAACCAGAAATGGTGTGCTAATTAAACAAAAAAAACAGACATGCAAAGTAGCACATATTTTACAAATGTCATCCACACAGATGTATAAACACATTTGTTGGTAATTACAAGATTGATCACAATAGTTGTTTTAATCTGTTACTTCTTTGTTTTATAAGTGTTTAGCAATGCAAAATCAAAATCTTGGTCAATATAGGGAAACCCTGGTTGGCATGTGCAAAATGTCAAAGATCTTCAAAGCCACTGATTGACTGATGCTGGGACTTCATGGGAAGCAGCACTTTCACTCCAGAGGGACGGAGCTCAAAGGTCACAGATGGTTTGGAGGCTGAAGTGTGATGAGAACTGCTGCAGGGAGCGTGTGTGTGTGTGTGTGTGACTGAGGGAAGTAAGGGTGTGTGCGAGGTTGAGGAAGCGCTTGGGTTGAATGGGGATTATGGGAATGTATTTGTCTGTGTGTGAGTGTGTGTGTGCAAACAGTCACATCCCCTGTGTTTCCCTAGAGACCAGAAGGGGGCAGCCCCGACCCAGCCTCTCCCCCATTAACCACAGGAAGTAGTACAGGAAGCAGCCCATGTGTGAGCCATCAAAGGCCCTGTGGTGACACCCAGAGCCTGGGACGAGGTGCTGTGGCTGGGGACAGAGGGATGCACTTGAATTTAAAGGATTCTAGAGGCCAGGGGGTCAAACACAACCTCTTTGAGAAAGTTTCAGTTTCCCATAACTAAGCTGAGAATCAGCGGTTTCCACACGTATGCATGTGGTGTGCGTCATCAAATGACACTAGAGTAATTAAGATTATCCAATCCTGTTTTGTTATTTCTCTTTTCCCTTTGGATCTGTGACTATTTCACAGTAATCAAAGAATTAGGCAAACCATTTAGCAATTATATGCCATCCATGTTTTGTGTTGTAAGAGTGAGTAGTAGATCTTCTATTACAATTGTACTGTACTGACATGTATTTTATAACTCTGCTGAAAAAATTCAGGAACATTGAAGTTAAACTGGTCTATACTAGTCAAAATGGCTCATTAGCTAGTGCATGCCAGTAGACCATCTTGGATCATTCATGAAACTGATGGAAATTGCTTGCTTGAATCAGCTAAAGACCAGATAATAACCAGCTAATGACTTGCTTAGACTAGATAATGACAAGCTCGAACCAGTTAATGAACGGCTTGAACCAGCTAATGATCAACATGAACCAGCTACTGACCTGCAAAGACCAGATAATAACCACTTCGGACAGACTGAGGAAAAGCTTTAACCAGCTCAAACTAACTAACAACTAACTCAAACCAGCTCGGACAAGCTAATGACCAGCTTAAACCTGGTTAGGCCAGCTATAATGACCAACTTGAACAGCTATTGACAAGCTTGAACCAGTTTATGGCCAGCCTGAGCCAGCTAATGACCAGATCAAACCAGCCATGGACCAGTCTGAACAAAGTAAGGACCAGCATAGATTGAACCATCTAATGACCAGCTCAAATCATCTAATTACCAGGTTGAGGCAGGTAATGACCAGGTTGGACCGGCTAATGAGCTTAAACCAACTAATGACCAACTCAAATCAGCTTGAACCAGCTCAGTCATTCTTGAGACGTGCGACAAAACAGGTCCAGCAAGGGTAACTGCTATTAGCTTTAAAAAATAAAAATATTAAAAAATTTAAATGTCATGAGGGATTAATAATAGAATGTATTTAACACAATTATTACCTTCAATTTTATTTTCTCATTATTATACCAAATCTGTGTTTCTTAATGTCCTCTCACTACGTCTAAAACAGTGTGTCCACAGAGAAGGGTTCAATCATTCATATGCAATAAAATGCATAAAAATGTTTTTTTTTTAATGATGAAAAAGAGCTTGTTTTATCAAAAGCAACACTTAATAATATCTATTTCCTGTGTCACAGCCATGATATGTCAACACCATCTTCCAATTTCTGAGGAAATTATTTGAAATATTTAGATCATTTTATTCTCCTGAAGCAGGTTCCATTAGCATCTAGCATCAACAGAAAACTTGACATGAACTCCATTGGCTTTGTGAAAGAAATGCCAAATTTGTCAACCCCATCAGATGTCACCACCATAAGATTTTGTGTTCCAGTGATATATCAAAATACTTAAATGTGACTCTTAAATAAAAGCTTTATAAACAATAACATACTCACTGTTTGTTGTTTGTTTTAATACAGTAATTGACTGATTCAATGTATTTGATAGTTAAAATTATTACAAATTCAGGTTTTCGTCACCACTGTCAGATGTGTTAACTGAAGTTGAATATTTTGATAATATTTCATTATGATATTTTATATTTGTTGTGGAATTGTTGGTCACATGTGAAAGTGTAATCTGTCTGCTAACACGAGAATGTGTTTTGAAATGTTAAAAACATCTTGAATGCTGTTAAAGATAAAGTTGAAATTATATTACACAGTCCAAGGTAAAAAGGCACATTTTGTTAAAAAATAGAAAAGTTGGGAGGTTGTATCAAAGCATAGCTCAGTAGCTTAGTACACATAAGATACATAAATATAGTTTCAATTGTCTGAGGTTTTATTTTTTCAATTTTGCACCCTGTTTTGTCACACTTCTCAAGAATGACTGAGCTAATGACCTGGTAAGACTAGCTAAAGCTTCAACAGCTAATGGCATGAACAAGTTTATGGCCAGCCTGAACCAGTTAATGACCAGCTCGGAAAAGTACCAGCATAGATTGAAACAGCTAATGACTAGCTTGACCCAGCTATATTATCAGCTTGAACCAGTAAATACCAACTCAAACCATATAATTACCAGGTTGAGGCAGCTAATGACCAGGTTGGACCGGCTAATTGTAAGTTTTATACAACTAATATTGCTAATCACTAATAACTTTCTTGAACTATCTAATGATGAGTTTAAACCAGCTAGAAACCATGTTCCAAGCTACCTGCTTAAAATGCATTTTACAACAAACATTGGTTACACTTTACTTGAAGGGGTGTGCATAAGACTGACATGACACCTTCATAATCATGACATGACACCTACATAATCATGGCATGACACATGTCATGAATATAAAGGTTTTTTATGCATGTTTATGACAACTGTCATTAAGTGTCATTCGCTCAGTTATGTAATTTTTTATGCAAAGATGACATCGTTTGAGATGTCTTTGTTATGGGCTGTGGTTAGGGGTAAGGGTAGGGGTAGGGTTAGGTCAAATAATGTCATATTTGCATTAAAAATGACATAACTGAGCGAATGACACTTAATGACAGTAGTCATAAACATGCATACAACCTCCTTCATATTCATGACATGTGTCATGTCATGATTATGAAGGTGTCATGTCAGTCTTATGCACACCCCTTCAAGTAAAGTGTTACCCAAACATTTTATGAATTTGTTTCTAAAAGAGAAGCTTAGCTGGAGGCGAAGATTCATAACCACAGTGCTAATGTTAATTCCAAGAAAATGCTGGAACACTGGGAGACCTTTATGACAGGTCATCCACGGTAGGAAATTAAGTTTTAATATTTTAAGTCTTCAGTAAACAAACAGAAAATTATGACGTCTTTCCCTGTGTTATAATCCCTGAGTTGTTTGTGAAATTAAAGACAGAAAAACGAGGCTTAACTTCAGATCTCATGTAGCACTTAAGTTAGCCCAGTGTTGTCACTTGGCTCATAATGCTGGGTTCATTGAGGTGGTTAGCAAAGGACAGGAAGTCTTTTACACGCCTCAAGCATCATGGGGATTTATAAAGTCAATAATCATCATAAATACAGGGAGACAGATGACGGGGGAAGCTGAGAAATTAACAAGTGAAAGAGTGGAAACATGAAACTCTATTAAATAAACAATCTCTCTCCCTCACTCTCTGTCTCTCTGTGTAAACTGTCACGGTATAACCGTAAGGTGCTTTCACATAAACAGCCCTATACAATAAACAGACCCAGACTGCAATATTACAGTTCAAACCACGATTAAACACTTGCACTCGCATCCTTGCTAACACTGATCTTACTTTCCTCTACTGTGTACATGTTAGCATGGGTGCTAAATGATAGCATTTTCATCAAATAGCACCTTTTGGACATTG